GAGTGTTGTATGACTATGGGGTAGAAGTAGCATAGAAAAGGATGATAGGCTGTCAGGGAAGTGTTGTAAGTCTGTGAGCTAGTTGTAGCATTCACAATAATGAACTGGGCCATAGTAGGAGTGGTCGTTGGGTTGAAAGAGGATCAGTGCATGGCTTGGTCAAGGCGAATAGTATTTTTGGAGGATTTCTACTTGTTAAGATGAGGATCATTAGATCCGAGGTGAGGCTAGTCCTTTACATAACTCTATTGTGTGAGACCTGTGAGCGAGGCTTGGTCGTTTGTACAAACTAGGTGAAACCCATGGACGAGGCCCGTATGATTATGATACGAGTGGGTGAGACCCAGTGGAAATTGGTTGGAGCCAGGTATTGGATCATGTTTAGAGTGGGATGACTGTGTGGTCGATGATTGGTATCCGCGTGATGTATAGTCTACGGTAGCCATATCAGTTAGACTCTTAGTAGGAGCCTGGCGGTGGGACTAGGTGTGAGACTGCCAATCTTTACGGTGGATTGGGGATTTTATATCTTAGTTAACTGAAGGTCGGCATGGAACCAAAAGATTTCGGATAATATACAAGTGTAAATCTTTGGATTCTGGTATGTGAGTTATGTTCTGGGTTGGCAAATGGATGAAACATACGTCGGGAGTCATCTTTTTGTATATAAAAGTTATTTTCATCAGCAAGGTATGGTCAAGGATTTTCCCGCTAAGGGTCTTAGTTGGATAAATCAGGATCGAAAGGATATCATTTGGTACAGATTGCGGAGAAAGACCCTAGTGGTTGAGTTTGGAATGGTCCTATTGGTGTATAGGTCTGGTAAAGTTTTCGGGTTTCAGAATTATAGTAGTGAAGTATTGGTTTTCCGTATCATAGAAGTTTATGCCTAAATGGATCGATAATTCGATCCCTATCATGGCATATGGGTCCTGCTATGATTGGGTTTTGATGGTAGCATTGAGAGGTCGTCGTGTGCATGCGTCAATCTTTTCGATAAAGTGGAGTTTGAGAAAATTAGTTGGATCATCTGATTGTCTGGAAGGTAGCAAGGAGTGATTTTGAGAACGAAATCTAATTTAAGTGGGGGAGAGTTATAATAACCTGTTTTGAGTCGAATCATAATTCAAGCCCGTGACCTAAAGATCAACTGTCATAAGGCTTCCGGCCTTGGAGAAAGAGAGGTTTGGACCCATTTGGATGTAGGTAATGTAGATTATGTGATCCAATAGTTTAGGTGTGCTTTGGAGCCCAAGGGTATAATGGTAAAAGTGATGGTTTGGGATTTTATTGAATTAAGGATTTTAGTTTGAGTTTTTTTTATGTCAAAAGTAATTGATCAGGTTGTAAAGCTCCACATTACCTTTCTGTAGATATAAAGATCGTCAAAAATAGAGCCATGACACAAAAGTTATAGCCATTAGAATACAGATTGGTAAGGGCTTGCCGAGTACGCTGGGCTACAAGGAATCTATGTTGGGCGTGTTGGGCTAGAGTAGCCGCGAAGGCTCCTTCGCATATATTAGGCATACCGAATATACGATGGGCATACATAATTGAGTCTCAAACCCTAATTTAGAGTTTTGGAGCATATTTAAAGGCCTTAACTCATTCTCAAACCAACTTATCTTCAACCTCCATCCCATTTAACCCTAAATTTGAAACCCTAGCCTCTCTTGTGTGAATTTCAAGCCTTGGTGTGTGTTTTTTTTGTTTGCTTTGGAGAAGAAGAGATATTGTAAGAAGCATTGCTTTTCTTGGAGCTTGTGAAACCAGCCTCTAATTATCTTCATCAAATTTCAAGAGGTATAAAGATGCTAACTTGATGTCTCTATGTGTTAGATCTAGTCAAGGGGTTGTTTTTGGGTTTATCATGGTCCTTAGAGTCATCCTTGTGAGTATGCGCTACCACGGGAGCATAAAATGCAAGAATTTATAATTTCTAAGGTTTTTGGTGCATAAAAATGTTATTTTATGGGTTTTGCTGAATCATGCTAAAGATGGTGTTTGTATTATGGTTTTAGATGGATAAAAATAGGTTTGGATCCCATTAAGACATGCAAAGGAGTAAAGTTGGCAACCTTGTGGATTAAGACCTTATTTAGAGGTTAGATCTGAGTTTGGACATTTAGGTCTTAAGCATTAAGTGTTTATTGAGAGTTTTGGTCCCCTGGAGAGTAAGTTGGGCGTACGTATGCATATGCTCATCGTAATTCATATATTCCTCATTTCCAGGCTTTGGTGGGTTGTAGATTGTGTAGCAGCAGGCAATATGCATGGCATATGAAATGCTCTTTTGGGCCTTCTAGGCCTTGGGTCTTTTTGGAGTTTAGGTCATGGGTTATTGGATCACATATAGGAAGGGTAAAATGGTCTTTCACCCATTAGAAAGATAGAATATAGATTGGACTTTGATTTTGGGAAATTACTGTAGTTATTGATTAGGGATATTTTGGTTGTGTTCAATGTGGGGATCCTGGTAGCAGCAGCATGTGTGTTTTGGTTATCTTGGATTGAGGTGAGTCTCCTCACTGTACCCATGGGTCGATGGCACCAATGTCATCCCACTAGGATCTATTATTCTAGTTTTCTTTGTGACTCTTGCATGGTATGTTGGGCTAGGCCCATATGTATGTTGTTCTAGGTCCATGGATCAGGAAGGGCTATGCCTAATGTATGTTATGTAGGATGAATTGAGAATCCTATAATACTCAATCTATCATTTCACCCTTTATTTTTTAATCTATCTTTTCACTCTTTGTCTCTTAATCTCATCCAATTAGTGAACTAAGCATCCTGTAATACTTAATTCATCATAATATATCACCTAATGTATCTATTTACATAATCTCATAAGTTAGCGTTTCAAAACCTAGCTTCTCATACATTGATTTCTCTATGGAAATCACATATAAATCTTTTTCATGACATCTAAACATTCTCTCTAGCATTACTAACTAGCTTTCTTACTTTTATCTATCATAACTAACTCAGTTACTCAAAATCACCATATAGCCCTAATTAGCTCAAGCATTGAGGAGACAATTGCCTCATGATCTTTCCACCTTCAGTCTATTCCATATGCACCATTTATCTCTTCTTGATAATTCTCCAACCTCGAAATCACCAGAGCTTGGGTATGGAGGGGTTTGGGTGAAAAATGAAGAGAATGAAGGGCTTATCATCTCTTAATTTGTCTCATAACCATGATGTAGTTGCATATTTTCCACTCCACGACAACCACTTGACCCAAATTCAATGGCTGCTTAAATGCTTTCCATGTTGTAGGCATCTTCTTGCCACATCATGGCACTCATTCTCAAAGGCATCCTACTTTGGCCATAGCATCATGGCACGCATATACCGCCTCACAGACCCGAAGTACATTTCCCTTTCTATCTTATAAAGAAAAATTATTAAAATTTTCTGCCACTCTTCGCATCACGGTCATACACTTTTCGCCTTGAGAAATTGCTTGACAGTAGTTCCTTTAGCTGATTCCATTCCATCTTTGGGGCATTTTTATCCAACTTCTAACCTTCATATCATCTTCATTTCTTACACATTTTTGATGTTCTTTATAACCACGAGAAGGTGGGGACATACTATATGCATCTATTAAGTTACTTCTCACTGAATTAATACAGGTCTTAATCTATTAGGTCATAATCTTGACCCAAAAAGCATAAAATTCCTATTTTACCCTTTTATCCATAAATATATCTTCTCATGCATTCTTTCTCTTGATTTTACTCATCTAACATCTTCTAAGTGACTCAAACTCTTCTTAGCGATTTTCATGAAGTTACAAGTTCATATACTCATCTCCTTCTCATAGTTGACCAGATTCCTTTTGGTCAATATTTAACTAACAGTCAATTTTCTCAAAATTTCGAGTTCTTAAGGTATATTTTATATAATCTATTAATTTCACATTCTAATTAATTCCTTTCATCTGCCTATCATAATTGTAAAATTAGAGTTGCTTCCTAAACCCAAGCCATCCCCTAGACAAGTTAGAAACTGATTCCACGAGTTGGTATTCTCAGTTTCCACAACAACATAAGCCAATGTATATGTTCCATTATTAACATCAGTTCCTTACATAAGTAAACATTTCGTAATTAAGAAAATTAACAAAAAAAATGTATTTCATATGAAAAAAAACTACCACAACTGAAAGTATTTGTCCTAGGTATGGACCCTTCATAAAAGTATCATCGATACTAAGAAAGTCCCTTCTTCCAGTAGAAAGTCTCTTTTTTAAAGGGCCAAGGTGGATACATATGCGCTTGAAAGTTCTAGTTTTTGTATCTATATTTGGTTCGCTTTCTACATCAATCTTTACAATCGTGTTTAGGTTATGTTTTTGAAGTTCCAGAATATAACCTCTCAATAAATCATATTGACCCACATAATCCCCTTGCACTTGATTGAGAGCTTCAATTCTAACCCTAAATACTTTCATCTTGGAAAGTCCCACATGGAAATCATGTTTTAGTTGTTCTTGTAAAGCACAAATTAATACGGTGGGGTTAGATTCCACCTAAGTTGCAATTTGTTTATCGGGAAACTTATAAGTACAAGCTTTAACATTTCAAGTTTGGAGAAAACGATGTTCTTTGTTATAAGAATTAATCATCCAATTTTTTATCATGTTCCCATTTTATAGCATTAAATCCCCACGGGCACATCTCTTCATCTTTATTGTTGACTTCTTGTTGACCGACGCCACTATTGTCTATGTTTCCCAGTTTTGGTATTGTCCCTCTCCACACAACTCTTACCTTATTGTTGTCATTTTTTTTTTCAAAATCAAGTTCCCTCTTTGACTCGATAGCATGAAGTTTACCTCTTTCTTTAAAATATTGGGATGTATTAAAGGGTTGAAGGATATAAAATGTTTCACCCACATTTGCTTCATTATTCTCATGGGCTCTCTTGATAGCTTTTATGGTCTTATTTCGTTAAGCAATAGGATCTTCATGTGAAGAGGAGCCTTACAAGAGAGCCTTGTTATTTAGAACTTCATTAAACTCCCTTTCATCATTATCTTCATATGCCACATTCTTCTTCTTCTTCTTACCTCCAACCCCCTCTGCATCCACATCAATGTTAGCATTGAAATCCTTCAAGTTAACTTCTACGTCATCTAATATGTTGTCATTGTAAACAAAAAAGTCAATGTCATCGGACTCACTGGATTCATAACCACTATCATCCCAAAATTCAACTTCATTAATGTCTTTAAAATTGTCCTTACTTTAAAATTCAGCACATGGACTTCCATCCTTGTTATCATCAACATTATTGTCCCTAATGTTGGCTTCCTCAATCTTATTGTCCCCATTATCATTTCTAGTTATGTCATATACATTAGTCCCTTCATAAAGTGTAGCATGTAAGACTTGTACATTAGAAGTATCCCCAACAACATTTTTCTCCCCGGTATCATATCAATCTAAGAAATCCTATGAGAACACGTCGGGGATTCAATAATTTGCTCTAATAAAACTTTTGAGTGATTTGGGGACATTATTTATGCATGTAATTGGATTTTACCATGCTCAATATAGACTTCAATTAATTTATGATTGAAAATGAAGGTTCCCGAATGACGAACATCTTGGTCACTACCCAAAGCAAATAACCCAAAATCTAAATCAGAAAAAGTTCACCTACAGTGATAGTACAAAGGTATACCTTCATCAAGATAGCCCAAGTTTTCTATCAGTTCATCAATGTCATGCACTGAGAAAGTATCGATGTCAAGTAATTCCACATAAGTTTGTTTTCCTTTGATGTACTTTCTTTCATGAAATTTGGTGAACTCTCCACCATGGTATAGTTGAATGGAAAAGATTTTCAAATGTCCCCCCCTGTGAAATAAACAAATCATTTTAGTTTTCAAAAAAATCGAAGTTGTAGAAGCTTGAGAGTTACTTGCAGTAACGACATCCAACATTAATTTCCTTCATATTTTCACATATATGCCATAGCACCATTATATTGTATAGACGAAGGAATGACGATTAGACTTTTCTTAGATTAAGTGTTTAAAATTTGTGTGTGGGTCTTTTGGATTGAGAAATGGAGTACTGAGAAATGATCACCCCTTCGTATACAACACGGTGTTAACTCTACCATATTAAAAAGACAAAAATACCCATGTGTGCCTTGCACGTGGGGTGTTCAATAGAGAAACTTGAAACCAAATTAATGGAAGGACCAGGATGGTTACAAATTCTAACATTATGGATCGTCCGAGTTAAAAATATTGCTCATGGACTTAGCGCACCATTTCCCCCAAACCACAAGGACCATCCATGTATTACGAAAATAGTTAAGCAAAAACCATGAAAAGTTATATTGCTAAAGTTTGTAAAATCACAATTATAACTATTTTGAGCAATACAGAAAAATGCAATGCGGGAGAAAAACGCATTGTAGGAGAAACACGATCCATGTATTGTGAAAAACAATTGTTATTGTGTATACATTAATGCAATGCAGGAGAAACACTCATTACATAAAAGTTTCATTCATGCAATTTGAATATTTTTATTCTGAAATTAAAAAGTTAATAATAATATAATTCTAAAATTATCATTTTTAACTGTATATTATCTAAAAACATAGTTATAAGCTGTTTTATGAAGAAAATAATCAAGATTATGTTTATCTTCTCTATTGTTTATCGTATCTTTATTTTGTTCCTAATTTCCTTGTAGGGTTCTAATTTAATTCACTGGCTTATATGATTATTTCTAGTTATGTACAAATACTATTTTATGTCGATTGAATGAAATAGCCTGGAATCAATTTGTTCTGGTTTAGTTTTGTTTTGTTTTTCGATGTGGTATATAAGTAGGTCTTCTGGTCCGCTGAATACGCAAACTGAAAGCCTCCATGGTTGGACCGATAGATGATATTGAAGGGAGTGGGAAAGATAAAGTTGAAAACCCCTCTTCTGATCCATATTCGCCATACTACATTCACCCCACAGATTATCCTCGTCAAATGCATGTGAATGATAGTTTCAACGACAATAACTGCGTAGATTGGTCCCAAGAGATGAGTGGGTTTATTAGCACCAAGAATAGGGATAACTTCATTGATGGAACTCTTCCAAAAACAGCATACAATGCGGAAGAATACATGGCATGGTTGTGCAGTGGCGCCATAGTCAAGTGTGACATCCCCCAAATTTACGAACTTTTTCTTTACACTTATTTTAAATCAAGCTGGTCTTTATAAATTAAGAATTTGTCCAATTTAAAAGTATTTCCAAAGAAATTTTTTCACTGATTATTAAAAATTGGGATGTCATAACTGATACAGAAACATAAGCATAAACATGCCTTACATCAGTATTTTAGCAACCCACAAACTCTTTAAATCTCTCAACAAATAATTACATTATCTAGCAGTACCTTTTTAATGCTACATATGATACAAATAAACAGAGTGGATCAGGTTGAGAAACCTAGTGATAATATAGGGTTTTCAACCCACAATATTATAATCTTTAATTATAGAATCTTCAGCATTCCCATTCACGTTATTCTCAGTTCCTAATCTTAGAGACCTTGTCTAAAGGATCATTGATAGCGGTCATCTATATTTCCCTAAATGATTAGGCACGACATTATGAAACTTTGGATACAACACGATGGTACAAACAGTACTTGGATAAGCACGACAGTACAATATTACTTTGGTTAGGCACAACAATACAATAGTACTTTGGATAGGCATGGAAGTGTTGTAGTACTTTGGATAAACACGACAAGTCACAACCTATTATTTCACATAACTCTCACTAACCTATCACAACCACTATATCACACGACCCTATCACAACCTCTCATTTGTTATTTCACACAGTCCTTTACTATCGAATCATATTATTAAGTATAATATATGATTAGATCAAGTAATAATCATATCATATTGTACAAATATATTAAACATAAAAAAATCAACGCACATAACATTTAAGCACGTATAATACTTGTATCTACGTGTAAGTTGAAAGTAACTATGCACTCACTTGACTTAGGTCAATGACTGATGATTTTGGAAAAGCTCTCCTAACACCTTTAGCTTTTCCTTTGATGTGACCTAAGTACGACTTATACTAGGTCATAGTATAATATTCCTGGTGACTAATGATAGTCTAGATTCCTCATTATCCTAATGTCTACATCAAGATTTATCAAGTAACAAAAAACTAGTTAGGATCATACTAGAGGTAGGTTCCATTTGGTATACATAGTATATTGTTTGGAAATCCTACTTTAAACACCTCATTTAATCTAGCCTTAAAATCAATCAGTATTATGACTTTGAATCACTGATAAATCTTATTTATAGGTTCATAATAATGACTTTGTACAGAAATACAAGTTACAATTGAAATAAAATAAGCAGAGCTTAACTTGTAGAGATTTTAGCAAAAACCGGTAAATTGCACAGCCATAATACCGAAACCGAAAGCTTCTATTTGTTGGACACCTAGACCCCTTTAGAACATTACTAAATGGTCCAAGGAACCCCAAAAAATCCAGTCTTAGGAAGGAGTAGTTTCTCATAGAAAAAGAGAGTGAAATTTGGTTTGGAATGAATGCAAAAACCGGAGCCTATTTATACATCTGCACAGGCACGCCGTGCACCCGGCTATAGGTGTGTCGCGCCTTCAAGGTGATGTGTCTCCTATGGTTGTACGACATGTGTCGTCATCTGGTTTGGCCACATTCCACTCTTCAGAATATTCCATATATTATTGAATCGTGGTGCCACAAGTCAAGTTTTTGTGGTGCCACGTTGCCATGTCATTGATGGAGAGTCGGTCGTCGACTAGGCTCTATGGTGCACTCTAGTGCTGCCACATCATCAACCAAGTGCATTTTTCATAGATCATTGGATGGCCATAAATTTTGCAAATGAGCTACGTTCTTGACGTTATTTATTTCCCCCAAATCCTATTGAAGATCTCTACAACTTTTATTAAGTTCTCAACACCTAATTCTTGTTCTAACAAATATTCATATTTAGACTGGTTTAGGTTGTCAAAGTTTATGCAAATTTCATAAATTCTTCAAACAAACTCCATTCTTAACTTTCTTTATACTGACAAGTTTATATTTATGAGATATTCACTTATCATTTAGATTGTTTCGACTAACAATCAACCAACTAGAGTTTCAATTTCTGTGTATCCAAACTATTGCGTTGAAACATCACAAAATCGTAACTTCCTCTCACGAAGTCAGATTTGGATGTTCTTTATATGCATGCTCTCGGTTTTATGATTAATATGACTTTTGTTTAGATTACTTAGGCTAATAAGATATCTATCAAAAATTCACTTTTTGTTCTGCAGAGTCATGTCCGTTTATTTGCAAAACTTCAAGGAAGCATAATTTCTTTATACAAATTAGGATTTTAGCGTTCTTTATATGTACAGAATCATTATCATATATACTACAAATCTAGTTAAGGTTATTTATGATAAATAATATTCTATCAAGATGTCATTTTTATCCCTTATTGTATTTTAATTGTATGGCCCAAATCTACGGGTGTTATATTAAGGGATGGATCACTACTGCCATTGAAAAGCATATTAGAAATGGTGTAAAGTACACAACGACTGCTCAACAAATTTGGGAAGATATTAAAGAGATATTTGGAAGAGAAATTGCTCCGAGGGCTTATGAGTTGAAGCGAACTCTAACAACTATGAGACAAGACAAGCACTTGGCTTATTCTTACTTCACAATAATGCGGAGTGTATAGGATGAAATAGAGTTTGCCGCACCTCCACCAACATGTAATTGCAACAAATATTCTTGAAACCTAGGAAAAAGACTTATGGAGTCCAAAGAGAAAGAATGCATATACGAATTTCATATGAGTCTCGATGACAATTTCGGGACCGTAAAGACCCAAATTCTCAGCACCAAATCCATGTCAACCTTGGGTACTATCTACCTTTTAGTGGTTGAAGACGAATTAGTAGCTTATCAAATTTGATCACCACCAAAAATTGAAGCCAACTAGTCTAATAATCGAATCAATAATGAAGGCCTTAAGTATAAGCACTACAAGAAAATTGGTCACATGATTGATGGGTGTTTTGAAAAAATCGAGTATCCTAGTTGTGGGAAAGTCGATAATGAAAGGTCACAAATGATCAAAATAAATCAACAAAAGCGAAGGCCAAGGATGTTGATGTTGCAATAAAATCTAGCCCCATACCCGGGCTAATTTTTGAACAATGCAAGAAACTAATGTAATAGTTAAGTAGCGACACTAAGCATGAAGTTAACATGGCTGGTAAGATCGATTTTCATCAACTGTGGGTCATCGAGTTCGATGTAACCAAATACATATCTTGTCGTGATTCCATCTTGTCTAATTTAAAGGAATCATTTGATGACATTCCTACTAAGATACCAAATGGTGACACTGTCCTTCTTCATGGAATAGGTAATGCTTAATTTCCAATCAATTTGAGTGTAAATGGTATCCTTTACATACCATATTTTAAATGAAATATCTTATTAGTTAGTAAACTCACTAAGAACCACAACTGTTTTTTAACATTTTTTTTAGATTTTTATTTCATACATGACTTACATTAAAGGAAGTTGATTGGCAAGGGGGATATGATAATGGTCTTTACAACATGGAAGAGATGGATACAAGCATCATGGAGATGGCAGTCAAAGTTGATATACAAATTTAGCATAGAAGGTTGGGACATGCTTCAAATTCTAGACTACAAAATATTAGTTTCTTGATTAATTTATGATAAATATATTACTATGATTCCTATATTAAAGCAAATAAAACTAGATTACCATTTTAAATCAACTCTATTAAAACTTCTACCCATCTTAACCTTATTCATTGTGATATATGGGGGTAAGGGTTAGCGTGTTCCTTTGCTTTCTGGAGCACAATACTTCCTAACAATTATTGATGATTATATTTGTTCAACTTGGGTTTATTTATTGAAACAAAAATTAGATGCAAGCTTAAACCTTGTATTTTTGTACAAAATGATTGAAACACAATTTGAAAGGAAAATCAACAGAATTAGAAGTGATAATGGGAGCTAGCTTGTTTCAAGTAATGTGCATAAATTCTATGTATAACATGGGATTTTACTTGAAACTTCATGTGTTCATACGCCACAACAAAATGGATCGTTGAGAGAAAATATAGGCACCTTTTGTAGATAGCTAGAGCTTTACATTTTTTAGCTAGTCCCCCAATCGAGTTTTGGAGTGAATATGTTCTCATGGCTACTTACATCATAAATAGATTACCTTATTAGTCTATCGAAAATAAATCCCATATGATCTGTATTAGAAATAAGCCTCGATATGATCACATTAAATATTTGGGTTGCTTAGCATATGTAAAAGAAAATAGAGATGGAAAGGATAAGTTTGAAGAAAGGGAGAGGCCTTGTGTTTTCATATGGTACCCACACGGACGAAAGGAGTACTGAGTTTTTGATATCCAAGACAAAAGAATCAATGTTTCTCGAAATGTGAAATTTGTAGAATGTATCTTTCTTTTAAAAGTGTCGATGGGAATAGCATAAAAAACGAAGATCAAAACAAGAACCATATAGGTTCAAGCCCCCATGATATTATTTATGATGATGTGACAGCTTCCATTCTTGATACTCCTTATCAAAATGCAGTTCAAATGGGATAGATTCCGCTGGTAGGTCTAAACCAGTGAGTCTAAGGTTGACTCAACTTGTAATCTAGCCCAACGCACTCGTCCTTAATGAATTTAAACCAAGACAACACGTCAACAAGAATTTGAGGTTGATTTACCACCTTCTATTTACCATTCTCACTCCATTGTTAACAAAGTTTCCTCGACGGTATACCCTTTATCCCACTTTGTGTCTTATAAAACTTTTAATAACTCCCACAAAGCTTACTCAACTTTCATCTCTTCTCATGATAAGCCCAAAATTTTTTCTCACGCAATTAAGAGTAAGCATTAGAAGGACGTTATGCGAAAGGAGATTCAAGTTCTTGAAAATAACAACACGTGTACATTGATAGAATTGATGGGTTTTGGTCATAAGACATCCTATGTGCTCATACAAACCCTAATGCTTGGATCTAGGTTTCTCTATTGTACATGCTTT